AGAACTATAATGTAATCCTATTACTACATCAATTTTATTTATGCCAATAGATCCTGTGACTAAAGCAAGATTCTGAGAGAAGAGCAACCAGAAAGGAAATAGAAATGATTTAATAGTGGATGAAAAACACCTCTGTGAGGAAGAGCAGAAGGAACTAAAGATATTTGATCTATGAAGAAAAAGGTAGATTTGTTAATATAAGCTTTTTAAAAAAAATTCTGCCAATAAGATCTTTTTTTCCTTTCATGTTTCTTTGAGGTGGCTAACACAGGGTGGGAAAGAGAGACCTGAAGAACGAACACTTATAAGTGTTGAATAACTTGGGCCGAGCCCGTGGTGCACTCTGGAGAGTGTGGTGCTGGGAGCGCAGCGATGCTCCCGCCGCGGGTTCAGATCCTATATAGGGATGGCCAGTGCGCTCGCTGGCTGAGCGTGGTGTGGGCGACACCACACCAAGGGTTGCGATCCCCTTACTGGTCACGAAAAAACAAGACAAAAAAAAAAAAAGTGTTGAATAACTTGCCCAAGCACATATAGTTAGAAAATATCAGAGCCAAATATAGGTCTGCATTTTCTTAATTCCAATATCCAGACTCTTTCTAGCATTTCATACTGCCTTTCTGTCAGTGATTTTATTTGTGAATTTTCCTATTCCCTGCAAGTTACTGAACATTGCTGCTTTTAGTGGAGGTGGTTATGACAATGTCTCACTACATTGGAGTCCAATAGTTCCCAGACATAATACATAGCTGCCATTCCATATCAACACCAGCTGAACTTGTCAACTTCCACAGCTATGCTGTGGGATTAAACTCACAGTAGTTATCTAGTTTTTTCCTTGCTGCTACTTGTTTTATATTTTAATATCTCCAGAATATAGCACAGAAAGAATCTGGACTCACCTTAGCTAAATCTTGAAGGACATGATGTATTATGCATACCATTCAACACTTCCATGCATAAACACAATTATATAAGTCTTTGCTCACTTCAGCTAAGGCAGAATATTTCTTTTAGTTCAAATACTCACTATAATTCTAAACTATACCCTATATATTTTAGATTCCCTATTATAACCCTAATGGATACTTTGCTTCCTTATCATTTTAACAACTTTTTTGCTGATGATGGTAGGGCTAGAATTTTGTGTGTGTGTGCATTTTCTACATGTAAATGTCTGTGAAGCATAAAGAAGAGTCAGTAATGATAGACTAGAAATAACAATAAGCTTTTAATAAAAATACTTTTGACTATGTTAATGATGGAGAAATGAAACAGAGAAGGAGGAAAAGGAGAGGAAACTAGAAAGAAAAGAGAGAAGACAGAAACAGGAGGAGAAGAGGAGAGAAAAATAGAAGGTGGGGGAAGGAGAACGTTAGCAAGGAAGACAAAAAATTAGAATGACCCTCAGGATTGTAAATCCTCATTTTAGGGGGTTGATGATACAACATCACAGGCATCCATGCATACAAACAAGAAATAGTAGTGTATTCTTTGAAGAGAAATCAGTATTTGGATTTTTATAATATCAGAGTAGATTTGGAACTTAAGGCAATAATTATATAGTGTTTTTTTGATACAAAGATAATGTTTCTAGCCCATTGTTAAAAATATATATTTTGGCCCATTTTTCCAGAAATAGGCATGGA